CTGGACAAGGACACTAACTCAACTTCAGAACAAGATGAGGTAGAAACAGGCAAGAAAAAGCCAGGATGGCTAGACAAGTTGATGAACTTCAAAGTAAATTCCCAGCACAACTGAATTACTGTTTGGGTTTGCCAGCAATCACATGCCAAGTAATAATCCCAATTGTGTCACCTACAATAACCTACCTACCTCTGCCTTAGCAGATGGAAGTGATCTCTGCCAGCATCTGGGAAGCTTGGCTGGTCAGAAGTGTAGAAAGGATGGGTGAGGAGGAGGAACTTCTGGTACGAGAGCCACTGAGTCTCTTCCATCTATCACTCAATCATCAGAATCCCTGCCCTTCTGGAGACAGGATGTCCTTATGACCGTTTTCTCTCCCTAAGTAGCTATCAATCCCAGCACCTTCCCCTCCCTTCTCTCATCTATTGATCACTACAGTAGGAACATCATATGGAATAGTGAATGTGCCCCCAAAGTTTGTCTGGGAGAGAAGAGAATGTTACATCCTTAGAAGATACATTTCCAGTGAATGGGTAAGTTGACTAATAGTTACACTTCCAGGAAAACCTTTTGGGGGGTTTTACCATGCTGCTAAGGACCTGAGATTCTAAGTGTGTGTGTGTGTGTGTGTGTGTGTGTGTGTGTGTGTGTGTTATCATGCAGGTCAAATTCTGAGTTCTTTAGCTCCAATCTTCAGGGCCTTCCGACATCTTTTCCCTTCCCGAACTCCAGCTTTTCCTCTTCAAAGGTCCCCATGATGTAGAGCCATTTCCCCTGAATTGAAACACGTCCTACTCGAGGGAGCAGGGAGATTCACGCAAACCAGGGAGCTGGTGAAACTTACCTAGGGGTACTTGGGAGTCTCAGTAGGGAAAGTTACAGGACACATAACCCCACCCCCACCTCCACCCCCAGCCCCGAAGTTACGAAAGCGGTAAATAATTGCTGAAGAAAAGAGACTATCTAGTTGTGCTGCCTGCAAGTTGAGCAATGAGCTCCAGGGGTGCAGTCTTCCTGAGTTCTCACCCACACACTAAGGGATGTAGCTGCCCTAAAGTCGCCCACACTCCTGTCAGTAACCCCTCATAAAATCCATTGGTTCACCAAGCTAGGCTGGGTGGAATCATTTCTTTAGTGTGTCATCAGTGTCTTATCTGGGTTGAATAGGCATCTGCTCATGTCTCCCCAGGAAAGTCATACAGCACCCCACCACACCCAATAATTCTAGCCATTGAGCCATTCTTCCTTGAGCCTGCCCTTCCTATCCTTTAACTTCTGTCCCCTTTCCTTCCCTTCTCTCTCATAAAACAAACCTGTTCCTTTCCCCCTTTACAGACACAAAGCCTGACAGCCAATGTGGGACTCGCACACTTGGGAAACTCTTGCTGATATCTTTAAGTATTGAGTCTCATGCAAAAGTTAGTGTAGCTATAGGTGCTCAGAGTATGGACAGATGTGTAGGAACACAGCAGAGAGCAGTTTCTATTGTCGTGTATGATATTCATGGGTTCTCACCAACGTTACAGAGCAGAGACAACAGGTACCTCCAGGAAGAGGAAACTGTCACATCTTGCATAGGGTTACAAATCTACAGGCCTTGGTCAGTGTTTGAACATGGCATCTATTTTGTTTGCATTCACTTTTCTCTTATTTCGCATTGAGGGATGCCACCAGCGGATTTTAAGGAGAAAAGGATCATGAACAGATTTGTATTTCAGACTCATGGCCAAGCAAAAAAGCAATGTTCAATGTTATAATCTAAGAAGCATAATTCCTCAGACAGAGAGGCACAAAAGGATAGGGACAGTCTAGCTCCTCAGTTTGGGGAAACAGTGGAGATGGAGTCAGAAAACAAATTAGCCTAAAAGTCACAAGGATATTATAGCTTATCTTATCAGAAAGGCAGTCTTATCCTACACATGTCTACAGATGTGTTACAGACATGTGCAGATGAGTACCAGATTGCTGTATAACTTAGGAGTTAATAAAAGGCACACATAAATGTGCACAGGGACACAGAGAGGAAATGAAAGCAAAAGAATTACCAAGGAGCACCAAACCAAAGACATTAAGGCCCAGAGAAATTTTCAGTTTGTTGCAGACAAAGCTCAGTCAGAATGTCACTGGAAGTCTGAGGCCTTCTGGAGATGCCAGCAGGAAGCACACCAGGTTCCTTTAAGGTACCCATCTCCTCTAAGGCTTTTTATCACAAGTATCAGAGATAATAACAGCCCCTGGGGAGTGCAACTAACAGACTGCCCCAAAGACTGCCCTTTAAGATTGTATAGAGGGACAGAGCTTACCTCCCCTAGATCCCAAAAATAAACACATACAGGTGCCTTCAAGCACCAACAAAACAAGATACTAGGATTGCAAAGGGCAAAGGAAGTAGAACTCTCCCAGGAAGGAGGAAGCAAGAAAAACAGTGACTCAGGAAAACCCAACCCCAGAGTTTTCGTTTTAGTTTTGGTGTACTTGTGCATATCTTACATGGAGGCATAGTCTGTGGGGCTTAATAAATGTTTAAAACTGTCACCTACTGTGTTTGCATTCATTCTTCCTCCTCCTATTTTTTTTACTTGGAGCTCCACGAGGGGATTTGAAATAGGAACGAATCAGTTGCTTACCATTACGTCTAATTGCATCCAAAATTGAAACAGAATTCTCCAAGAACTGTTCTTTCTCCTAGTGTCTTATTCTGCCAAATCAATATGATTGGGGCATAATGGGCTGACACCTCCTATTCCTTGGCCACGGCCCTAAAGACTCAGTATTTCTAGGGTCTGTCTGCTCACACTCCACTCTCATCGTATTTGTCTGAATTGTTCTGCTAGTCTCCTAACTGGTCTCCCAGCTGTGGTACTCCAAGCACTGCCAAGTCCTGTAGCCTATCCCACTGGGCTGTTACCTCGAGAACTTGGTAAAAATGCCTTGGATCCGCTTAACCTGAAAAATTTGGAAAAACTCCCCCAGGCAATTCCAAGGCCTTCAAGGCACACGGTTTATAGATCAATACTTTGAATTCTTGATACAGACAGAAAAGAGATAGGTTAAAAATAACAGACTGGCCGGGCGGTGGTGGTGCACACCTTTAATCCCAGCACTCGGGAGGCAGAAGCAGGTGGATCTCTGTGAGTTTGAGACCAGCCTGGTCTACAGAGCAAGTCCAGGACAGCCTCCAAAGCTACAGAGAAACCCTGTCTCAGGGGGAAAACAAAGCAGAATGTCAGACTCTACCCCTGACCCACATTTGAAGAGCATCAGGTGATTCTCAAGCTTGTGTTTGAAGAGTGATGCTCTAAAGTATCATCTGACCAGTCACTCACTCCACAAATGTTTACTGGGTTTCAGTCAATCTGGGGGTTGGCAAGGTCAAGGTTCAAGGTCTCTAACCCTGATAAGCTCAGCTGACCACAAGCCAGTCTCTGCTTAACATCCCAAGCACTGAGGCCCAAGGCCTTGCTCGTACCTGCCTCAGGCAACAGCTGGGACCTTCGGTTTTGTTTGTTTGTTGTTTTGTTTAGTCTATCACTCAAGTCAGGAATCAAGGAGGAACAGTAACCACTTCTAGGAGACAGACTGAGTTAGCCTTATAAGCCTCTCTCTGTGGCACAAGTCATCCCTAATGTCTTCCAGTGGGGTACCTCACATGAATTGATCTTCTTAAAACTATCCCAGGTTTTCCTTATTCTGATGGGAAAAAAAAAACCTAGAATTTCTCCAAGTTTGTTCCCGCCTTCTCCTGCCACTCTTAGAAGTATTGCTTAAATTAACCACTCTTAAAGTCATAGTACATCTGCCTCAGTTGCCACAACACACAGTAGCATTGAGCGTGTCTCAACCAGAAGCAATAAACTAAAATTGGCACATCATCAAATCTCAACGTAATACCACTAATATATTATGTGAGGGCTGGGAGGTAATACTCAGTGGTAGAGCATTTGCCTAGCTGGTATTCACAAGGTCTTAAATTAGTTCACCAGTCCCTACCACCACCAACACTAAATAAAATCCCAAATTAAGATAATAGCAAAAGACTTAATAATAGTCCACTTTAAAGTCATTTAAATATGAATGTAAATAGAGTATGAACAGGCTGGTTCTCCCAGGATGAAGAAAGAAATAAATTTCTAATTATATATCATTTTGATATAACAATAGTAATCCAAGACTGTAAGTTAATTAGATCTGTGGAGAGTTCCTTCCAGTAGTTGAGCACTTAACTTCACAAAATACATGGGAACCTTAGAAACATTAAAATCTGTAGTATAATCAATTCAGAGCCAAGAGAGATGAAGACTGATAGGAATAAGACCAAAATATGGCAGAGGAAGGCTGATCCATATCAATTATCTCAATGCTCTAAAAGGAAGAGTTGAATGTCTCATAGAATCCTACCTGAATCTTGGAAATGCTTGTTTTTAAACATATAACCTTATTTTCATCGCAGGGAAAACTACGGGTCTGGAGTCGGGATGGAAGGAGGGAGGAGGACCTACTTTTTAAAATAGAAGCATCCTGACATCCCAACCCCGTTCTACAGCGACTCGGTGCCTTGAGTCTTTGGGAAGCTTGTTGCACTCCGCAATTGATATACAAAACTGCTCCTGGCCAAGGTGCTGAGGACCAATGCTCAGAACAGGGATTAACCTGGGTGAACCGTCCTCAACTTCCTCACCACCACCAACTGAAGCCACTGCCGTTCTCAGGGGGCACCACGCTGGGACATAATCGCTCGGAACACCCCAGTATCCCGGGACCACCCTTGCACCTATGGAAAAGCACGAGGCTGGTGGCACATTCGGGTTGGGTGGGGAACGCAAGCAAATCCACAGGAGTTACAACCTTTAGTCTCCCAGTCAAATAAATGTGTCCCCAAGTCTTGAAAATGTTCAGAGGTCTAAAGGCCCACGAACCCCCAAATCACCCATGTGTCTCTTGGATCTGGGGCGCTCAGTTGCCGGGATAGCGGTGAACCTGCTCCAGGAGAGCACACTGACCTGGATGCCTGAGCGCAGCGTCTCTCCCGGAGGCTCAGGTGTGCGGGTCGCTCCCGTGTCCCTCTCACCTTCCAACGTAAAAGCCGGGAATCCAGCGACAGGCCACTGGCCCAAGGACCAACTGCCAACCAACCAGCCGACCCGCCAGCACCGACTAGGTCCGGCGCCCACGTGACAGAGGCGGGGGCCCCCGAGAGACTGGTCCCGGAGTGTGGCTCTCTGACTGCTTTGGCCTTCCCCTAGGACCGCCCCTCTGTCACCCCTCCTCTCTCCCTCTGTGGCCCGCTGGGACCCAAGAGCTACAATTCCAGTTCCACTTGCCTGGTCAGCCCCGCCCCCAGGCAGCGCTCCGCGTGCGGGTCTCAAGCTCCACCCCTCCCATGAGACCACGCCCATCCCTGAGTCCCACCCACTGGTTGCACCTCGGACTCTCGCACCCTTCCGGCCGGTAGGGCGGCCCCTAGCCACTTCCCTGCGGGACGCGGAAAGTGACAGCGTGGAAGCAGGACACTTGAATTGCAGAGAGGAGCACCGAAACACACACACACACACACACACGCACACACACACTGGGCCGTTGCGACTCCATTGAGATTTGTTTTTTGGCGGGCACCGCGTCACCCTTAGGTCTGACTGCGCTCAAACCCCTGCGACCTCTCGTGACCTCTAGTGGCTGACAACCTAGGAAAAGATCTGGTGTCCTGTCTTGTGAATAACACTTCCGGTGTCCAACAAGGTTAGGTACTAGCAAGCCAAAGAAAACTGTGGTGGTATCTGCCCATAGGGTCTGAATTTCCAAATCCCAAAGGACTGTGCCCTGGAGACAGAGTCCCAGCACCTACCTCCAGTGTGCAGGCCTGTGGTTGTATCACAGGTGCTTGCCCTACTGGGGCCTCCAGGAACAGGCTGCTCATTTTAGCTACTTAAAATCCCCAGGACCTCAGATGGCAGCCACACCAGGGACTCTGGCAGGAGTTCCTACTAAACTGGACTCCAGTGGCTTACACAGGAGTGCTGACAGATTCTACAGGACACAGCTTTTCTTTTCTTTTCTTCTTAACCCTGGTAGTCTAAAATTGCTGATGTGGCCCGAGGATTCACATGTGAACAGAACGTAAGCACTCTGGCAAACAGGTGTGTGAGCACTGCAGGGACCTGGCCAGAGCAAAGGCAAAGCCAGCAGAGAAAAGCTGGGGCCCATGAGACTTGTGTCACAACAGGACACCCTTTGGCTCTTTCACTTCCTTAAAATAGCTGAGAAGTCTAAGTCTTTGCAGGCAGAGCCTGCACAGTTCACATGAGTTCCCCTGTGTTAACTGGGTAGTTCTAAATCCCACTTGTAGCCTAAGGGTCCCTGTTTCTTGCTAGTATTTTCTCAGAAGTATACAATTGTTTTGCAAAATGCCATATAAACTTGGCTTTCTCGGCCTTATGTGCAGTTTAGGAAGGAACTTTTCACCTAAAAGAGATACTCTACCTGTAGAGATTCTCTACACTAGGGTGAGCAGTTTGGGAGAGGTGTATCCTGCAGAGCTGTCGATTAGGCATTTCCCAAATGGAAGCCAGACAGCACGCCACAAGCACACTATTCTCTTGACTTCAAAGGAGCCATGTGTACAGAACTCACTCCTTTGATAATGTTCCTGCACCCTTCCATATGAGTAGGTCACTTTCTTTATCTCCGAGGTAGGTAATGTGACTTTACCCATAAAGCAGGTATTGATCCCTAGATTCATGGAGTAGTTATGTCATGTTTATTCATTCATATCTGCTTTATTCTGCAAACTATTTGGGTTCTCAGGCCATTTCATCAGAACTGTGGGCTGTTCCTTTCTACTCAAATGGTTTGTGGTGGTGGTGATGGTGGTATCTCTCTTACTGCCTGTGGTCCCAGCCTGGACTTGGCAAAGTCATATAAACAGCTGCAAGAACACAAAGCAAGCCTTGTCATGTGACCAACCTGGAAAGGCAGAGCCCTCAGCACATGACACAGGCTGGCACTACAGCCTCACTTGTGACCTAGAATCAGCCAAATGGGACACACATGTGGGAAACACTTTGCAGATGCCCCTCTCAACTACCCCCTATAAAGCCCGGCATGCCTGCTGTGGCAAAGTTGCTTGTCTGCTACCTGGCTTCCATCCAGACTAGTATATTTACCAAGGGCCTTGGTGTGTTAGGGATCTGTTTACAGTAAGCCCAACACAGACAATACTGGAAAGCTTTTGTGCTGGGGGGATATAGGCAAATATAACCCGATGAGGTTATTTGTTTAATCTCACTTTTATTATATTTAAAGAAAGAATTAAGAAGCAGGCAGCAGAAAGACAAGATGAGGCTAGAGTTTTGTCCTTACCCTTGGGCTGGTTTGCCGGAGAAAGCTGACTTTGAAAGACGTATAAGAAGACCTTGTGCAGACATGACAACTGCCTAAGGGGCAAACTTTTATTTTTAGGCTGAACTGATGGACATAATGATTAAGGATAGGTGGGTAAAAGTATATAATTGATACTTCCTTCCTTGGATGATGGAAAGGACTATGATGTTTGCAGTCTTTTCTAGCTCTTTCATTTTATAGTTTGCTACTTTGAATAACTCACCTGGACTCTCATCTCTGGCTTAGCAACTATAAAGATTTGTACATATCTACAAAGGCAAAAAGAGAATTATACAATGTTAAAAGTCTTTGTAACTAGAAAGTATCATCCCACTATTATTGGTTTTAATTTGATACTGTATCCACTTGGCTTGGCAGAGGGCAAGGCTAGAGGAAATAAAAATTGAAAATCAACAAGAAATAGTGCTTCCTGGGTGCTATGGTCTCAAAGTGAAAGCTGCTGTGTTTGAACATTTAGTTCCCAGCTGGGTACAGGCCTTGAAGTGAGGCCTAACTAGAGGAGGTGAGTTACTATGAGGGCAAGCCTTAAGGTTTCTTAGAGCAGTCCCACTTCTCAACTGCTGCTTGCTTCCTGATAGCAGATGTAATATGAACAGCTGTCTCATGCTCCTGCTACAACACTTCACTATTACCGTGATGGACAACATCCATGTTTTTTTTAAAGACAAGATTTCTCTCTGTAGCTTTGGTTGGCCTGGAACTTACATTGTAGACCATATTGACCTCAAACTCACAGATATCCACCTTCCTCTGCTTCCTGAGTTCCAGTACTAAAGGGGTATACCACTGTGGATGGCTTCCCTTTAAAACTATAAGCCTGCAAAACCTTTTTGTGTCATAAGTTGCTTCTTGCCAGGTATTTGGTCATAGCAACAAGAAAAGCAACTAATAAAGTCGGGCAATGAAAATGTATTTATAAACATTTGAATAAGAGGGTAGAGCCCAAGTGAAAGCCGAAGAAGAAATCAGTTGAGGTCAGGAGTGGCAATATCCTAATTGGTGGAAGAGGAATAGACTCAGAGAAAATGCTGGAAGGCAATAAGGAAAGATTGGGACTATGATAGATCAGATGGAGGAAGCCTTAATCTCCATCAGATTTGGATGGGGACAGGTTATTGGTCAAAACTTCAGAATGATGGCCTCATTTATGCTTTCAAAAGATACCCAATGCAGTGACATTGGGGGAAAAGAATAATATGTATATAAACTTTTAGATCCTGTTCCTGTTTGCATCCAGAAGGATACTACACTGTAAAGAGACTGTGATCTCAGTATTCTGGAAAACCGCTGCCCAAGTCTCACAACTCTCCCTCCAAGCTGCCATCCATTACTCCAGAGGCAGCCTTTTCTTAGTCTGGAGTTTGTAAATGATCTGATTGCCTTCATTCCAGGCATACAACTGCTTATCTCTGGGGTTGTAATGGATCATGGAGTGACTTCTTGGCCGCCTGGGGAAGAACAAATTGGGCAGATGTTCCTCCCTAACAGTGCCCAGTGGATCATAGACACAGGTGATACGGTGAGGGCCCTGTCCACCAAAACTGTAGACCACATAAAGGACCCCACATAGGAGGAATGAAGCTTCAGCATCCTGGTTTCTACACGGTGTTTCCCATGAATGTTCTACTCCCAAAGTGTCCGGATCGATTTTCGTGAGAACCAAATGGCCTTGGATACCCGGTCCTGAGTGGATAGCCCAAAGCCCATGTTCATCCACAGCAAGGTCAATGTATGTGGATAGGGAGTGTTGATAGATGGGGGCTCGGCCTGCCCCTCCTGGGAGAAGCATTCTGTCCTCCACCATCTTCTTCTGCAGATTATATTTAATTATCTCATTAGAAGTTCCTTGATTGTGAAAAAATAGAAAGCTTTTATAGATCACTTGCCCTGATCCCTGCCAGGAAAGTGGTAAGATTAGCTTCCGGGGACCAGGCTTGGTACTATCTTCCATGAATGCCCGCAAATTTGCAAATTCCCAAACTGTGTTGTTTCTGGATCCAATTAATAAATACACTTTTGCAGAGTTACCACGAGCATCTTTCATCCAAGAGCCATCTGGGTCCATGGTCTTCTTCACTATTTTCAGGGACTTTATACTCATCAACATGTTGTCACAGCCTAGTCAGACAGGAGAAAAAGAACAGATTATTTATGAATATGAGCTGTCTACTTTCTAGAAGACTCAACAGACCTGAAGAACCTTGCTTGCCTTCAGATCTAATACTAGTAGAGACTATCCTCTCATCTCTGATACGATACCATGGTTTCTGACAGAAGAGTTTCCCTCAGAGAATCCTAGCACAAAAAATGGAAAACAGGCATGTACTCCTTTGAAAAAGTAAACACCATTAGACCTGAACTCCCTCCATTTCCTGCTACTTAATTATAGAATTTTCCTAGAGGAAGCTATGTTGTTTCTCCTTTCGGTAAGTAATACAATCACTGTATATATATTCTAGCTTCCTCAATCATCTTATAATCTTCATTTTTTTCTTCATAACTAGCCCCTTAGTCTTAACTTGCATGCATCTTGCTTATTATTATTTTTAAATCTCATGGTTGGAAACAGTGTGTATGCTCAGCACTCTGGAGGCAGAGACAGGCAGCTCTCTGTGACTCTGAGACCAGCTTGGTTATATAGCAGTTCCAGGGCTACATAGTGAGATCCTGTCTTAATAACAAATAAGTATCTCCAACTTGCTAACCTCTGGATATTTTATCTTTCCCACCATTTAACCCCCAGCTTCTCCTACAGAACAGTCTATATGTTCCATGTTTACTTTCTCACCTCCCACTCTCACTGACAACATTATCTGTCCTTGATAATGCTATCAGGGAGCTCCTAAATAAAAATTCCTGCCAATCTTTTATGTGAGGATGTTACTTCATCTTCTGTAATATGACAGCACTGATCAGTTCCTCTTCCTTGATTATGCCTTCTCCCCCATCTTTGCCTGTTTGTTTCTCCATTTTATCCTCTGACAATGTGGCAGAGATCATGATCTGTGTTCCTCCAATTCCATTTCAATTCACTCTTCCTCATTGCCTGTGAAACTATATTTCACAGTCTTCTTTGTGGTTAGGCTGTTTTTGCCTGGTGGTATATAAACAGGAGTGGTATAAGCATCTTCCACCTGGCCTTTAAGTATGCCATCTTCCAGATGACCTTAGCCCCTTGGAAACATCATTGTGACTATGTTCAAGAGGTCAGCATTACTGGCCATTTCAGCGAAAGTAGGTCATCAATTCTAATTTGGGACTTTTTGGTAGATCTCTATAAATCTGGCCAAGAACCCATTGTTAGGGAGCCACAGGTCACAGGGATGAAACAATTATTATTATTTTGCTACATGGATATAGATTCAAACTGCTCTATAAATTGGTATCTCTATACCCAACCATTAGTGCAATTCTCAGACATCATCCGAGTAGTTTCTTTGTGCAATAGAAGACAATGAGTTTACAACTGGTCAATGCACAGAAAGTAAATATCTGGAGAGTGCTCAACCACAAGCGGGACATACATATCATACTCCCTCCCCTCGAGGCTCGGGGACCACCACAGAAGAAGGTCCACAAATACTATAAGAGCCAGGGGTCAGGGAGGACTGGAAGGAAACACTATCATCAGGACTAGACAGGACTACTGCACTCACTCTATCTGCATAAGATCAATCCAATCACTCTTCCAGCTGTGGTGAGTGGGTGGTGGTACTTAGGGTCATGAGCTACATCCCTAGCTAGAGGGTTATTGATAGTTGAAGATATCTAGAGGAGTAATGCCAGTTTTCTTTATGGGTGTGGTTCCTAGTAGGTCAGTTGTGTTCTGGTGATGGCCTCACATCCATGTGCATGTGGACAGTACAAAATGGACTTGGTGGGTTATAATAATTTTTAAAGGACATGAGGAGGTGGGTTGGGAATGAGTCTTGGGTTGGGCTGAGAAGAGCTGGAAGGAGTAGGAATGAAAATGATCAAAATATATTGTATCCATGCATATATGAAATCATCAAAGTATTAATTAATATATTAAAATGTTTTTGCAAAATTCAATAAAAATATTCAACTATATATCTTACCACCTACTCTTCCTCTGCAAACCCTGAGTCATAATTTCTTGTGTAGATCACTGTAAATGTATCTGATTTGTCTCCCTGATTTTAATCTGGCTTGCTCATCTACATGTCATACTTTCCACAAAGCAGAAAGAGGGAGCAGACATTTTAAAACTTTCTCCTTCCCTAGCAAACTTAGAATAGCATCCTAATCCTCTACCCTAGAGTGTGAAATGTGACTCTTGTTTATCATTAGTGAGCCATCCTCTGTGGCTAACTGTGTTGTGATTACATAGTTTCTTTATGTTCTGTGAGCATGCCAAATTTCTTTTTGACTCAGTAATCTTGTACTTAGAATTCTTCTACCTGGAACACTCTTTTCCTTGAACTTTGCAGAGTAGATTGGATCCCATTCATTCTTCAACTAACCCACTTCTGCATATCTCCAACTCACTACGTACCACAGGATGGCCTCAAACTCACAAGTACTAGAATTATAAGCCTGCACTACCATACCTGGCAAAGTCTCATCACCTTAGTGGGCTTCTTCTTTCCTTGAGATCACTCAGTACACTAACTGTTTTATCTGCTTCTTTACTAGATTAGTATCTGTCTCCCTCACAAGACTCTCCAAAAACAGGGTCTTCAACTTCATGTTCAATATTATACCAAATGCCTAACCCAACGCTTTGAGGATTCAGTGCAGCAGCTGAGTGAAGAAAATAAAATATTAGATGTTTTGCTAGGGTATAAACCACAGAACCATCTTAAGTAAATAATAATTCATAAAGCACTTCAAAGCTTTTAAGATACTTTCAAATCCATTATTTCATTAAAAAAATAGATCCCAGATTTTATGCAGAGAACACATAGAACGGAGAGCAGGCTTAGATGGACAGAGTCACATCCCGGGAAGCCAATTCTTTAGATGGAGGCACAGTGGCCTTACCTGGCTCATGCTGTGCCAGAGACCAGATTTGGATGAGAGTTGTAGAAGTCTCTCAGCTACCAGGAACTGCCAAGTCCTCCTAACATGCCCCAACAACATGATGGTTTGCTTTCATGTGTCAAAATTGTCATGGTTGACCTGACTGTAGGCAGGTAGACACTAGAAAAGGAATCCAGGGACTTTAAACATCTCAGGAGCACATGGCAGAAGGAGCCTCTGCTGTAGTGAGCTCTTGAGGACTGAGGGAATGTGGAGGTGGAACAGCACCCTGATTCTCAGGGCACCATCTCTACCGGAACACAGCTGAATCTGGCTGAAGTGAAGCCACCGGTCTTCCCTGATCCTATGCTGATCACCAAGAAGAAGTGAGTGACTTTAAGCTCTTAAATAACTATAGACTGGTTGTACAGGGGACGGCAAGGAGGGTTTGTGGGTTCCTAAAGATACCCCTATGACACTCCATGTAAAAGAACAAGTACAAGGGTTGAGTAGGTTATTAAATATTTTACAAATACATAAAATACATTTGTTACTGTACTGTATGACTTTATAATATTTTATGTGATTCTTATAATAAGTAACCTTGTCATATATTTTAATCACTAGTTTCCAACTGAAGAAAGTTAAGGCTTGCATTAGTTTCTTGGAAAGGTCACACAGCTAGTCAGTGGTGAAGGGGTCTTCTGAACTCAAAGTTGGGAGCCAGGACACTCTCAGTGAGCCTCAGATGTAGGGAACAGTGTGTGGTAGGAAGGGTTGGGAGCCATGTATACTGGTGTGCCCAGAGAAAGACCATGGAAAGCAATGATCTCTCAAATATGATAAGACATCTACTTCCAGAAGGTGGCCCCACAGTACCTGTCACTTCTGCAAGGGAGGAACAGACTTGAAGCTAAGCTGTGTAAGGACTGTGTCTTGGAATGAGGAACATGTGTTTCATATATATAAGAAAATATTCCTGTGGATTGCCTGCTGGGTGACATCTGGGCCTTGGTCTGTGGTCATACCACAGCCAGGGTCTGTGCTGATGTGTGTGACTCCTGTTACCATTGAAGGTTATATGGCTGCCTGGGGTCTGGGCTGCCACTTGAGTCCATGTTGGTATCTGAGGTCCATGCTGCCCCTGGAACCTTGCTGATCTGGGTGGCTTGCTGTGCTACCACACAGGCCATGGTTAAAAACAGGCCCAAGCTACTGCCAAAGGCTATGACTAAGCCAGTGGTCCTACTTCAGCCCAGTCCATTGTCTGTGTTACCATAGGGGCCCATGCAAACCACACATGTTGAAATCCAAAGGTGTAAGATTCCATCTGACACCAATCAGAATGGCTAAGATCAAAAACACCAATGACAACTTATGCTGGAGAGGATGTGGAGAAGGAAGAACACTCCTCCATTGCTGGTGGGAGTGCAAACTTGTACAGACTCCGTGGAAATCAGTATGGCGATTTCTCTAGGGATCAACCTACCTCAAGACCCTGCAATACCACTGTTGGGCATCTACCCAAAGGAGGCACATTCACACCACAAGGACATTTGCTCAACTGTGTTCATAGCAATGTTATGTGTAATAGCCAGATCTTGGAAACAGCCTAGATGCCCCTCAACTGAAGAATGCATAAAGAAAATCTACATTTAGACTACTCATCAGTAAGAAAAAATGACATCCTAAAATTCACAGGCAAATGGACAGAACTAGAAAAAGCCATCCTAAGTGAGGTAACCCAAAACCAGAAAGACAAATATAGCATTACTCACTCATAAGTGAATACCAAACATAAAGCCAAAGATACCCAGCCTACAGGCTGTAACCCCAGAGAAGCTTGAACCCTCTTCCAGAGAAAGGTGGAAGCAGATGCAGAAATCCACAACTAACCAAGAGGCCAAGCTCCTGGAATACAATTAAAGTGAGGGAGGAGCAATAATATGAACAAAGGAGTCAAGTCCATGATGGGGAAACCCACAGAATCAGCTGACCCGAGCTAGTGAGAGATTAATGATTTGGGTCTGACAAATGGGGAACCTGCATAAGACCGAACTAGACTCCCTTAATATAGGTGACAATGGTGTGACTGGGACAATACATGAGGCATTGGCAGTGGGTCCAATACCTAA